GGGGGGGGGGGTAATAGCAGTCATTGTCAGGGGCGGGGTGAGAGCGGAAGGGCGCGAAGTGTAGCAGCGTTAGTCGACCTTCGACCGCTGTAGGCGCGGAGCCTGAACCTGGTTCTTCTGCGCGCATAAGATTGGCTTTCGTAGCCTGATGGCGGCTGCTTCCGCTGTCGCTAACAGGCGCTGGCCTAGTAGCTTAGGGTAGCTCGATGGGACCTTATAAATTACACGAAAAGCTTCGTTGGGGCCCACGCGATGTCCGGAATCGACAACATGCGCGAGAATGGCGCTGTCTCTTCTCCTAGTTTCACCTTTTGCCAGCCATGCGGGAAGGTGTTCGCGTATTCTCTTGGATAAGCACCTACTCGTGCGTCCGAAATATTTGTGCGCCTGTGTGCTTGTGTTCATATTACCGCGTCGGCTGCAAGACTGACGGCCAACTCTTCAACCACCGGCGGATGCACTTCTAATCGCGTGTATCCCCAACCTCTGTCCACGAACTGTTCTTCGCCGACGAATACTCTTTGAAAGGCCACCTCAGATGGGACCTCTTGGCCGCCACCTACGACAACTTCGTCCTGGTCATCAACACGGAGAAGACGGTGGTCATGCATCAAAGGCTTCGTTAAGTTGTTTTTTCTCCGAAAGAGGTGTGTGCCAGTGTGTTTGCGTGCATATTTGGGCACCTCTAAAACGAACCACGCAGTACATGCGAAAGCACAGCAAATGCCGACATTGGGGGTGTGGTAGCACGCCCATGTACGGGCTAGTGCCGCGTAAATCGGGAACCGTGCTACTCCCTAGGTTCCTGTGGTATAAATTCCTGGTCAAGTGTTTGGTGTACACTTGGGGGTGTGGTGGTACACCTATGTGAGGGCTTGGCCGTGCCACTCACCTCCGGTCTTTTTGACCCCGTCTTAACAGCTGGCTCGGGTGGGGAGGAGAGAGTGCGGCAGATTTTCCGCACGTCTACACTCATCATCAACTTTCTCACGCGGAATTCTCCATGCCTGTTCCTCTTTTCTGCGGAGCACTCAGTGGACATCATCATCAACGACCGTCGGACTGTCTTAAGCTGACTGGGAGAGTGACCCCGACGGTTAGTAAATCCTTATTGCACGTCACATCAAATCATTGCCCACTAAAGTGAAGTTGTCACGCCTGAATTTAACAGGACATGCAATCAGTCGGGGCTTGCAGAGCTGGCGGCTGACAGGGCAAATCCTTATGTCTCAGACCACAATTGCTGCTTCTTCATATAGGCCTCATCGCACTCTCGTTTTCATGTGATGCAGACTGTCTTTGCAGTAGGCCGGGTCGTGTTTGGCATGCGTAGACGGGCTGGTTTGCTCGTCAGGCGTCGCGCGGACGTCCATTTCCGGCCGTCCGGGTATTACCTTGCAACAGTGCAGGGTGCGTGAGGACGGGGAGGGAGTTGTGTAAGTGAAGAAGAAGTGTCCGGCAGCGGAAACTTCGTTTATTGTCCCGAGCATTCAGACTCGTGCAGGAGCCCATCGTCAGAGGTAGTAGCAGCAACAGAGCAAGCGACAGTTATAGGGCATCTAGGCCAATCATACACCGACGGCGCAAGACTGGAGTTGACTACGCAAGGCTCTGTACGCCGGCAGCAGGTCGGTAAATCGAATGACCGAGTTCTCATCCGAGGCCCAGGCTTCTATCAATTCTCTGCTTGCTTTGTTTCCGGCGTAGGCGACTATTTTGCTGGCTGCGAAGTTTAATTCGTGACCCATTTCGTAGGTGTGGGCGGCCACTTGTGATATTGCGTCGCCTGGTCGCACAGCCAGCTTATGTTCGTGTATGCGTGATCCGAGCATGCGCCTAGTCTGCCCTGCGTAGTTACAAGGACAATTTTGACACGGGATGCGATACAGTACTCCAGATTGCTCTTCAGGCTTTAACCGGTCTTTGATATTCATGACTCTATCGCGTATGGTGGCTTTGGTGCGGCGTTCAATTATAACACCTGGCTTCGCAGTAATACGCTCGGTCGCTTCTGAACCGCCCTTGATATATGATAAAAGAAAGCCGTATTGTCGGTGGTGTGGGCGTTCGAGCCCTCTGGTTGCGACTGCATAGGCAGCGACTTATGAATGCCCTTGGATAGCCATTTTGCACAAAGGGGTCGCAAAGATAACGGGTCTCACGTACTCTTTCCTCTGGTTTGCAGCAATGAGTTTTGATCTGTTTGAAGCGCGTCTTCACACAGCTTCATTTGTGAGCCACCGGATGTTTGCTGTGAAGACTGAGAAGCTGCATGGTGTTAGTTGCCTTCGTATAAACCGTCCTTTCAAGTTCACTGTTAAGGTTTCGTCTGAAAAGCACATCCAGCAAGCGCAACTGTTGTTCCTGTTCTTCTTCCCTAGTAATTTTTATATCAGAGAAAATTGCGTTCAGCAGGCTGTGGGAATGTTACAGCATGTCCTTCTTTACGAGGACGAACGTGTCGTCTACTTAACGGCGCCAAAATACCGGTTCACGTTGTATGTAGACAATATTTTATAATTTCGGTAGGACCAGTTCTGCCACTAAAACGGGGAACGGTTCCCTTAATTTTTTCATAGGTTACTCTCGCAAAAGTGAAGAAAGATTTTTGACATAATTCGAACAGCCTCATGAGGTGCATTATGAGTGCATTATGAGTGCATTCTGAGTCTCATCGTACGCCTCTTCAAGTATCTTGCGCAAGACTTCGCGGGCCACGTTTGGTGGGATGGATGTGAATAACGACGTCACATCGAGGGAGACCATGATTTCGTCCATTTGAATCCTCGACCTTGGGGATCTATGAGGAATTGAGAGGCTGATCGAACTGAGGTAGTCGAATTGCATCGGAGGAACTTTAGTTTGAGTACATCCACTTTGCCAAATTGTAGGTGGGGCAGCCGTCTGCTTTAAACCGTCGTTTCAAGTTCACCGTCAAGGGTTCTTCTGACAAGCACATCCAGGAAGGGCAACTGCTGTTCCTCTTCTTCGTCTTCCCTCGTGAATTTCACATCAGGGAAGGCTGCGTTAAGCAGGCTGTGGAAATGTTGCAGCATGTCCTTCTTTACGATGATGAACGTGTCGTCTACGCAACCGCGCCAAAATACCGGCTCATGTTGGATAAAGGCAATCTTTTCTAACTCCTGTATGACCAGTTCTGCCATTAAGCCGGAGGCCGGTGTGGCAATTGGGGTTCCCTTGATTTGTTCATAGGTCTCTCCCGCAAAAGCGAAGAAGGTTTGTTGGCAAAATTCAAACCGCCTCATGAGGTGTTCAATTTTGACTGCACCCTAAATCTCGTCGTAGGCCTCTTCAGGTGTCTTGCGGCAGACTTCGCAGGCCAAGTTTGGTGGGATGGATGTGAATAACGATGTCACATCAAAGGAGACCATGATTTCGTCCGATTGAATCCTCCGACCTCGGAGGTCTGTGAGGAATTGAGAAGCTGATCGAAACGAAGTAGTCGAATTGCCTTGGAGGAACTTCAGTTTTGAGTACATCCACTTTGCCAAATTGTAGGTGAGGCTGCCTTTTACGGGCAACGATTGCCCGAAGTGGGACATTTGCTTAATGGATTTTTGGCAGACCATAGAATCGAGCTAGAGCGGTGTCAGTTGCCTCCATTCGGTGCCATTCATTCTCTGTGATAACATTTTTATGTCAGTATTCTGTAAGCAGTTTACTCAGCCGGTCTGCTTTGACTTGTGTTTTGTGTGTGTATATGCTGCGCTCAAGTCTGCTCAACTGCACACTGATTGTCGCGCACGTACTCGGCGAGTCCTGGCGCAACCCGAGGGCAAGCAGTGGACGTAATTTCTTGCGACAGTTGAAATACCAGGTGCTGGTCAAGTGTGGCCAGGTGTGGTCAAGGACAGCATGTACGACTGTGGCCGTCAGAAGCCAGTCGATATTCTTTGGGGTAGAGCTTCCGGTAAAGCGTTGAGTAGCTCCATAGCCTGAGCAATGGTGAGTTGGTCGTTTCAGGCTAGGAAAAGTAGAGCGGGCTATGATATGAGGAACTTCGACTGCAGCCTTCCCATTAAAACGATTTTGCGGATGGCTGCTTTTTCTAACGCAAGCCAGCACAATGGCTTCCAAAGTAGCCCGAATCGACTGGATGCAAACTTGCATCTCACGCAAAAACGGATACCTTTGAATTCGATGAGCAAATTAAATAAAACAATCTCAGTGTGTGTCAAACTCCTACTGGCAAATGTTCAACTTAATGAAATCGCAGAGTAAGTCAGGTATCTTGTATTAGAGGCACACATATTTCTTGAAGGCTTCCTCAACCGGATTACTGGCTGTTGTAATAATCCGCATTTTAATCTTGGAAGCCAAACCCACTGTCGGAATGATAAGGTTCCATCGAGGGTGCATTTGCTCTTATTCTCATTTATAGACTAATGACTGGCCTAGATCAAAACACAGCATCAAACTGACTCCAACGACATTGCACGAACGACATACGGTTGACATAGTTGCCGTCAATAGCAAGAAAATGCTGAAAGCGGAAAGGCAGCAATCTACTTGGACGACAAAGTTCTTGGATCATTCCTCCGTAGGACCACCTGGATCCATGTAATCTGTAACAGAAGGAGTAAAACTAAGAAGGAAGGGAGGAAATGAATGAGGCGAGCATTTCTTTAAACTGACTTTCATGTTTAGACCCTAACCTAACACCACTAACATCAACAGCCAAGTGTGCTCGTTGCGCAATATGTGACGTGTTTATAAACTCCAGTTACATACCCATCAGAGTTAGCAGCAACCACATTCGTCACCGATGTCTGTACTTGGTGTAATGATAGCTCACCGCAATTTCATCATGGGTGTTGGTTACTAACGCATTAATTATTTAGCCATTTGGCTGGACGATACTGAGTGTAAAAATGTTATTCTCAAGAAGTTTCCATTCGTGTAAAACCAAATACAATAGGTGGGCTAACTCATGAAATGTCAACCGAAATGCACAAGTCCGTTTGCGTTTCTAAAAGACTAATTAAGTAGGGTTGCAAAACTAGTCAGCCTGACAACAAAATTCTATAATATTTCGGTTGCCTTAGGATGTCGACTTTCGAATGAACTTCCTTCCGTCTGCATGCAATAACTACACTCTGTAACAAAACAACCACTGATGTAGCATGAATTCTTCTCACTAATTTTCGATAGGTCTATATGTCCAATCGTATTTCATGGAAAACGTGCATATAATATTCATTGTTTGCCCATTCGTTAAATAATTACGTCTTCTTTCAATTTTATACTCGAAACAAATGTACAATTCGGTTTTCTAAACTTTTTCCAATTCCCCAATAATCTAGAACCCGCTCTACCGTTACTCTTTGATTTAGGGTTTCCACCTACGGAAAGCCATACCTTTCTCTACGGTTATAAAGGGGGTTCATATATACTTCATAAAATTAAGCAGTGGATTTGATCCATACTGTTAACTTTACAAGCCCCACTGGTAACTGCAGAGATATGGCGATTTATGAACGGCGATTTCACGGTATTTAAAGGTCCCGCAATTGAAAACCTTTTTAAAACCGAATTATGTCCCTCCTTCGAGTATAAAATTAGAAGACGCAATTATCTACAGAATGAGCAAATGAATGAATGCTGAAAACGGAGAGAAAGCAATCTAACTAGACAACCAATGTATCGGGTAATTCTTCCGTAGAACCACCTGAATCCATGTAATCTGTAACAGAACGAGTAACAACTAAAAAGGAAGGGATAAAATGAATGAGGCGAGCATTTCGTTCGACTGACTTTCATGTTTAGACCCTAACCTAACATCACTAACATCAACAGCCAAGTGTGCTCGTTGCGCAATATGTGACGTGTTTATAAACTCCAGTTACATACCCATCAGAGTTAGCAGCAACCACATTCGTCACCGATGTCTGTACTTGGTGTAATGATAGCTCACCGCAATTTCATCATGGGTGTTGGCTGCTAACGCATTAATTACTCAGCCATTAGGTTTGCCGATACTGACTGTGAACGTGTTATTTTCAAGGAGTTTCCTTGTGGCCAAGTACTCCATTCGTGCAAAACTAAATACAGTAGGTGGGCTAACTCATGAAATTTCAGCCGAAATTCATAAATTCGTTTTCGGTTCGAAAAGACTAAGTAAGTAGGGTTGTAAAACTCGTCAGCTTGTAAAATAATTCTATAATATTTCGGTTGCCTCAGGATGTCGGCTGTCGAATGAATGTCCTTCCGGATGCATGCAGAAACGATACTCGGTAAAAAACGACTACTTAAGTAGCATGAATTTTTCTCACCAATGTTCGCTACGCATATAGGTCCAATCATATTTCATGGAAAACACGCATACAATATTCATTATTTTGCTCATTCGGTAGAATATTTGGTCTTCTTGCAATTCTGTACTCGCAACAAGTGTATAATTCGGTTTTCAAAAGCTTTTTCAATTCGCCAATAATTTAGAACCCGCTCTACCGTTACTCTTTGATTTAGGGTTTCTAAACTACAAGCCGTATACTTTCCGCTTACGGAAAACCATACATTTCTCTACGGCAATAAAGGGGGCCATATCTAGTTCATAAAATTACGCAGTGTACTGGATTCATACTGTTAACTTCACAAGCAGAATCGGTAACTGCAGAGATAGGACGATTTATGAAACGGACATCCGACGGCATTTAAAAGTCCCACAAAAAGAAACTTGTTAAAGCCGAATTATGTTCCTTCTTCAAGTAAAAAAATTAGAAGTCGTAATTATCTACAGAATTATCAAAAGAATGAATATTTTATGCATGTTCTCCATGAAATATAATTGGATATTTAGGAGCATCGAAAATCAGTGAGAAACATTCATGCTGCTTAAGTAGTCATTTTTACAGAGCTTTGTTTTTGTATGCAGCCAGAAGAAAGTTCATTCGGAAGCCGGCATCCTCAGGCAACCGACATATTATAGAATTATGTTGCAGGCTGACTATTTTACAACCCAACTTAATTAATCTTTTAGAAACAAAAACGCATTTCGGAATATTGGTTGACTTTTCATGAGTTAGCACATCTACTGTAGTTAATACTGCGGGCCGTTTAAGGGAAGGAGGGAGGGACGGAGAGACGGCCGGGAATCAAAACATTAGCACTCCGTTGATTTCACGATTTTCAGTTCCGTGAGAATTTACGCCTCATGGAATTTAAAGGTTTGACGGGGTGCAGTATGTCTCCTTCGTCTACGTTGAATTCCACAATGCGGCAGGGTTCCTCCAATTGTCCCTTCCAAATGCTGCCTACGGTGATGAGTACCAGTAGAATCCGACAAATCACTCCAGGGCTCCTAGTCTTCTCAATGTCTTTCTGCAACCCTCACCCTCACCAGTCTTATCACAACTTAATTTCACGGATGGAAGCGAATATGCGAATCCCAGGTTCTTATTGTAAAGAACATGAAGAAAAGATCTCTGGAACAGTAGGTGCATTAGTTTGAGCTTTCGGTTTCGTACATGAGGCCAGCGTCAGTGACTGTGAGAATGCGGCATCAATTGAGCAGTTTTTTTAGTCAAGGCATAAAGAGGTAGGATATGAGTGCAGAGGGTGGTATTAGCGATATACTGAGTCCCACGCCGTCTTACGGCGGCGTGACTGCGCTCACCCTTGGCTAAAAATTGGGTCTCGCGGGAAATGGAGCGCGTGACTGCGGGGGGGCATGTCAACGTGTCTGTTGATAGAGTTGGTGTCAGACACTCAGGCCCCCAACAGTTTTCGCCGTGTCCTATTGCCGACCCGCGCTACTATCCGCGTGCTCACGAAGTTGAATTCGTGGCCTTCCTCCAAGTTGTGAATGGCGACCTGACACAATGCGTCGCCTCTCCGGACCGCCCGTTTATGCTCCGTTAATCGCGAGCTAAGTCGTCGTCCGGTCTGTCCTGTGCTTTGGCGAGGGCAGTCCCGACATGGCATCGGATAAACGACACCCTATTGTTCTCCCACGTCTAGTCGGTCCTTCACATGCATGATTTTGTTGCGCATGGTCGCTGTCGGACGGTGAGCGACACCCACGCCGACCTCTCCAGCGATACGTCCCATCTTTTCGAACAGGTTCTTTATATATGAATTAACTCTGACTGCATGAGCTAGATGCATACGGCGCATTATCAGGGCAAGACACTCACTAACTGGTCTGCGCAGAGTTCGCGCATCATATGAAAAGTGTCACACATGAAGCAGATTCAGGTCGTCCCAATCAATTGTGCTCAGTCCTTGCATCAAATGACTGACTACT